TGTCCAATCATACTTGGCCAATAAAGAATTCTATTCTATTCTATTCTATTCTATTCTATTCTATTCTATTCTATTCTTGAGTGAAACAACTTGCCCCCAGAAGTTGTGGGTGCTCCAACACTGGAGGTTTTTAAGAAAAGATTGGACAACCATTTGTCTGAAAGGTTTCCTGCTGGAGCAGGGAGTTGGACTAGAAGACCTCCAAGGTCCCTTCCAACACTGTTATTCTGTTATATGTACTGCAAGAATTCTATGTATCTTTCTTTGCAAGTAAGCAGAGTGGGGAGAAAAATGTCTTGGAGGAAATAAAAATGTATTGGGATGCCTAATGTTAAAATTGGTGGGGTTTCTATGTATAAAATATATTTTTGAGGAAAGAGACCTTTTAAAAGTGTAGCGAGAAAGTTCCATCCAAAGGGTTTATTTCCTGGGACTGAAATTTCCCAGGCATCGGAGAATTTACATTAGTGGATTTCCCCCCTCTTGTTCTACGGACAAGGTGCCAATATACATTCAGCTCTTCCCTAATCTGTGACCCCCCCAGATGTGTTGGGATCTTGGCCAGGAATTCTGGGATGTGTAGCACCCAACTATCCAGAGAGTTCGAGGCTGGGAAAGGCTTTTCTAGGATTACTATTCTTTCTCCCCCCTCTATTTCGTAACCACTTTGGCATATGACTAATTTCTCCTTTCTCCCCTCCCTTCCCAGAGAAAACACTGAAAACAACAATACATCTACCAACAAACAGAACCAGCTGTCTCCTCTGGATGGGGCCAAGCCACTCATCTCCAGTTCCGAAGAGGAGTTTTCGCCTCCCCAAAGTCCAGATCAGAACTCCATTCTCCTGCTCCAGGGCAACCTGAGCCATGCCAGGAACTCCAGCTATTCTTTGACCGGCTTAACTGCCTCACAGCCAGCCCACGGCCTCCAGCCTCACCAACATCAGCTGCAGGAATCCCTCCTAGGCCCTCTCACTTCCAGTTTGGTGGACCTGGGCTCATGAGTTTGCTCCCCCACGGAAGGTGGGGCTTGTAGATAAGGGAACTGTGTCATACTTTTTTTCTCCCCCTCCCCGCAACCCTTGTTTTGTTTTTTTCCAGAATGTTCCTGGTGGTTTTTAAAATGCCTTTTAAAAATCGCTTCTAAATCATCCCGGTTTCCATTTCTCTTTATGCAACACCTCTCTCGCGAAACCATCTTATGGGTAGCCAAACAAAGAGAGAACATCCACCCTGGGTGTCATCCCTCCATTGCATCCTTTTCCACTGACTTAATCTTTCCTGAGTTGGAATGACAGACAAGTTGTTGCATTTTATTTAAAAGGACAGAGAGAGCATCACCAAGCCAGGTTAAGCACTTAGATTCCATCAGTTTCAAAGAGAGATTTAAGCACTGTGGGTTTTAACTGGGACCCGTGTCCTATCTTCTGTTTTGTTTCTGTAGAGGAAAAGAAGGCAAATATTTTATAGCAGAATCCTAAGCATCCTAACTCAAAAAATAAGGCCCATTAAATAAAGTAAGTGAAGCTGACAAAGCAGATCCAGGCATGCTTACTCAGAGGTTTGCTAAATGGGGCTTGTAACGCAGTTCATACAGGNTGTGTGTGTGTGTGTGTGTGTGTGTAAAGGTAGATAGGGGGGTACACACCCACACCCAACAACCTTTATCAACTTGATGTCCTCCAGATGTGTTCGGGCTACTGCTCCCGGGGTTCCCAGGCAGCCCTACCTGGTCATTCTGGAGATTGTAGTCCCTGCACATCTGGCGAAGGCAGGGTTGAAGAAGGCCACAGAAGGCCAATTGCTGCAGGAACAATGGCAAGGGTGGGGGAAGGGAGGCGCTGTGCCCCCAAGGTGCAGGGCTGGCAAGACTGTTCATCTTGTTCCTTTGGAGGTTTCAAGTTGCTGAAATTGCCAAGTACAGCCTGGAAACGAAAACCGAGAACCAGAGGATCTGCCCTTATACACTATCACCCCCGGATCAGCCATAAAAGTTACTGTGGCAGCGGTAACGGAAGAGAGGAAGGGACCTTAGGCTGCCTCGCTAATCGTGGCTCTTTCGGATCTTTTTATCTCCGAATCTCAGCGGACTGGATCATTTGGAGGAAACAGTCTCACGCCCTTCTGCTTGCCTGGAAAGCAGTCCCCTCTCCCCCGGCTTTCTCGACAACGGGGGAACGCGGATTCAACAAAGGCGATTTCCTGAGGGGACGCGGTTGGCTTTAGAGGCGAATCGGAATCCATTTCGGAATCGCGGCAGAAGGCTCTTCCTTTGGACAGTTCATACTCCTCGTCTGAAGAAGGAATTCAGACCGTCGCTATAGTTCGGATACAGCTGGGAAGTCTTGGGCAAAAGCAAAACACAGGCCAGGTTCTTGAGCAGGAAAATGCAAAAGGTTTCGAAGCGGAGAGGAAAGGCGGCAGAACGTCGCGTGTTGGGCCCGAGATCCTTCAGGATGCGCACCGTGGGGAAAAGTTTCCGCGAACTCCCATAAACGCCGGCGTTTAATTGCTCGGGCTACGGGCAGAGACGTTTTTAGACGTACATTCTAGCATTGTCCGGGGTAAGGGGATTCAGCCGGAGTAGACCTTAACTTCGGAGTAAATACAAAGAAGCCTGGTACTTGACTTTCCGTGCTTGGAAACATCGCGTGGCAGAGATGAGCTACTTTTCACCAAGAACGTACATTTTATTCAGGGATAAAGGTGCTTTCACAGGCTCTGATGCTCACACTCACCCCACACATTTGCTCTCTCCTCTGAACGGGAGAGGGAGGAAACGGAATCGTAGAAAGAGAGGAGTCCATCATCTGACAGCGTCTTCAGACATGCTGTCAAGTTCAGTCTATTTTAAACTTAGATAAACTTCGCTTTTCGGAACCCGCCCCCCTCGAAACCGGATAAATGCGTTATTTGAAATAACGGATTTAAATTAGGGTTTTTTTTTTGTTTTTTGTTTACAAATCCCGTGATTAAAAATTGTTGCATTTCTTCCGAGCTCTCAGCTGTGTAGAGCAGCGGTCATCAAAGGGTGGTCCATGGACCATTGGTGGTCCACGAGAAAATTTTGGTGGTCCGCAGAAAAAAATATTTGTGGTTCACAGAAAAAGTATTTGCATTTTTTATATTGCACTAAATGCTATTTTTCTTTTTTTCTTTTTAAATTAAAAATCATATTCGCGGTCCACGGGATTTACAATTATGAATTTAGTGGTCCTTGAGGTCCGAAAGGTTGGTGACCCCTGCTGTAGAAATTGTAGCTTTGCTTTGTTCTGGACAATTTAACATCTAAAGGCGAAGCAGCTCGTTGCTAATGCCAGCCCCATTCGGGCTGCGACAACTCAGGGCAGCCTTCTAAACGGGCAGCCAAATGGTGAAGTCCTGAAAAGGGGGAAAAGTCAATTTCTCTGCAGAAGACCCGGGAAAGGGTTTGTTTTCTTTGTTTGTTTGTTCGCTTTTTTTTCCTCCGAGAAGTTTCTGGGTTCCAGCTGGAGCCGTGGACACGATCCAGCCTCAAGCGCCTTAGGCGATCGCGCTTTGAGAGCAAGATCGCCACTTTGCAAGTTTCGGGTCCCGCTTGAGGATA